TACCAAAAGATAACAACAGATGGCAGATTACAAGCAAAGCTTATAATTACGACACAGTCTATGGTATTACGAAATATTAATTGACTACGCCGATATAAAAGTGAAATGTCATCTGTAATAGTTATTTACAGTTACATCCATTGACTTACAAATAAATGGACGACGGGTCTAATACAAAAACCACGAAAAAAATATCCAAGTCAACCTATTTAAACGTAGTGACATGTAAAGGAATATGAAAAAGCTAAAACATTGAATTTAAATTGTAATGTCATCGCAGTACTGTCTAATTTTGCTTGCTTCGCTTTCAGTCGAACAAACGAAGACTAACGCGTGAATGACGCTCTGTATACGATTTTAACGCCCTATAAGTTCGGACACTTTTTAGCGCGGACCCGACGTCCATATAATTGTAAGTCAATGGTTACATCACTTCCACTTTTGATGTCATATGAAGATTGAAACTATTTACAAAGTGAATCCAAAACGAAAAAAAAATGAAGAATAGGCTGTATGGCATTACGCCAAAGCCGTTAAAACTCTACTTAATAAAAAAAAATCTCAACAATAACAATTTTAACTATAGTATTTGAATTCATTGTGAAAAGGTATAACAAATTATATGTACAATATACAATGCCATGATCATGCAACATTGCTCAATTATCGAAAGCATTTAGTAATTAATATTAATGTTGTTTCAGAAATAAGTACGCTAACGATGGACTTACAAATAAATAACAATTTGCTACTTTGTTTATTTTATGAAGTTAAACAGAGTTTCTTCGAAATGTTTACTAAATGCTAACTTACGTAACTTAATTTTTTTTTAACAATAAATACTTGATTTATTTCATACTTTATTAAAATTGTTTTTAAGCATGTCGTGTTTCAAGTCATTTTTAAATTATAAAGTTTCATAAAGTTTCATTGTCAAGTGTTGGTTTGGTCTGATATATAAATGTTTTGTTTTATATGTAGTTTTTCTTATAATTTATTTTAAGTAATCTTTTGGTCCAAATGGCCAGAATGTACAATAAAATAGGATGCTTTGCTTTAAGTATCCGTATCAACGGGTATTTTAAGGTCCCTTTACCAAGTTGTTATTGTCAAGCCCATGTTCCATAATAATTGCCTATAATCAACACCATTTTCAGTGAAGGTAAAACCAGTATTAAATCATCTATCAGATAAGCCCTGATAGCTGTTCCCACAAGGACTTGCCTTCTGGTAAGTCCATACATGACGATAGTAGATTACAAAATTCAGCCAAAGTAGTCACTATTCAAGGGAAAAATCTAAACACCGCGATCCAGTATTTGCATAAAATGGGTTAATGCCATCTAGTGGAATTTTATGGAACTAGAAAATGCGCTTGATCCAATGTTGTTATATTTTTTCTTTTTCGACAAGGATCACATTTAGGAAGCCTTAAAATTATTATATCTATAAACAGTCTAAATGTGGAATATTTATTTCAATAATAGTTCCCTGTAGTAGTTTTACGAACAAGAAATTGTTCTTCGTTCCCTCAAGACAAATAATTAAATTTAATTTAATATTTTTTGTTTGGTTTTGCAATTATTTATTTTTGTGTCACTTGTGAATTATGTGATTAATTATGTTTTTGGTTTCCTTTTTGTTTAATGTTTTTCTTATGTGGTTTCGTTTGTGGTAGTCAAATAAATGTATTCTCTTTCTTATTTATACACGTGTAACCCCTAAATTAAAGAACGACCAAAAATGAGTCCGAACATTTATTTATTTATCATAGTGGTTAGTTACAACCATGGCTTAACAAATAATGTTAGTACGAACAACGGTCACAAGAACAAATGTCCTAGCCACAGTCACAAGCAGGTACGCAAACCTGATTCGCATTTCTGTAGTAACCCTGTTTGCAAACGCATCTTGGATCGCTACATCCTTTAGGTTCGTAACATTCAGATTGTGTTTTGTTGCGATCTGCGCAAGCATCTGAGTAACAAGGAGGTGGACAGGAGTTCCATTCTTCGTTTGGTCTAGTGCAGGTTACTGGAGCTAAAACAGGTACATTAAAACAGCCAATTTTATAAGTGTAATCATGTGTTAATTAGTCAGTATCCTTTAAAGTTGTGTTCTACGTACATAGGTAATTTAATTGTGACGTTTAAGTATTAAGATATGTATTAAAATTATGCTCTAATTTGTTGTAAATAAAGAGCTGTAATGTGTTTGTATTGTTTTTCTGCAATAAATTTATGTTTCTTGGGGAAAGAAAAAAAGCGTAAACTCATAGATATTTCACTTAATTTCATTGTGTAATTCGTGACTGTTCACGTGGGTTATCTTAATGTAAGTGCTTCCTGTTTTAAAAAGAGTTTCAAGCTGTTCGTTTTCCAGGAATGAATGAAGAAATAAACTATAAATCGCGCATATTTGTTCTTTCAAACAAACCAATAAAAAATAAACGGCCCATGGTCACGGCTACCTGAGATGGTAAAGTCATCAACCATTTATGTATAATGTTGATGACAAAACAAATATACAAAATTAAGACCCGAAATAATAGTTTCATTTCCTATGCATAAAAATCGCTAAAACCTAATCATTCTTCTCCTCTCCTCTTCCTCCTCCTTTAGCATTAGCATTCGGCATTTAGTAGCAGTAGAGCTCCTTGTGAAAGAGTTTGTCCAGGTAAATACTGCCACCTTTCCTATTTCTACCGCCAACCAGTAATGTGAGCATTACTGTGTTCCGGTTTTGAAGGGTTAGGGTGCTGGTGAAATTACAGGCACATGGGACTTGTCAACTGACCGACGGGCCGTCGCAATGCCCCTTAGATCTTTGCGATTTAAAGCTCTGAGCGGCACTGCAACTGTCATGGATAGGCGTGTCGCTTACGATCAGGCGCACGACTTGTTCGTCCCGTCACCTGGTATTACAAAGAAAAACTTCATGCTTCATATCCAACACAAACTTAGTTTCACTTCTCACTAAATATGGCAAATAGCATTATTATAGTCGCAATTTTACAGCTCGTGCTTGTATTTAATCTTTCTTGATAATCAAAAATATCTTCATTGTCATTAAATTCATATGCACTTCCGGACGTAAAAACTGAAAGCACATCAAATCTACTGTTGACTATTCCCTTCTCCCACGCTTTATGCAAGTCATTAATCCTTAAGAACTCGATAAAACTATCACGATAAAACGATGAAACTAAGTAAACGTTGGTTCTTCGTCAAAATTTCAAATTACGAACTCAAACTACAGGCGACGATTTCTAATACTTACGACAATCCTGAGTCAAGACACAACTATTATCTTGAGAGCTCTTAAAACGATAACCATCTTTGCATCCACATCCTGGGGGACAGTCGCGAGGAGGTTTACAGGCATATTTGACGAGGTCATCGTTTTCTGGGCAGAATTTATTAGGACACTTAAATGTACAGAAAACTATGGTCTTGTTCTCTCCACAGTTTGCCTGACCTGAAAGCAATTGTTATAGAACTGTTTATTATTATTTTCTATGTATCTGTAGGAAATAGTTTACTATGATGCATCAAATTACATTGTCTTAAAATAAATATACCTGTGTAAATGATGCGTGTACGTGAAAGGTTTTTTTGTATACCTAAGTAAATATTCCTACAAAAGAGAATATATGAAATGATGTTAAAGCACACTTGTAATGCATATTATTATTAATAAATTAAAATAGAAGCACTGGTACAAAAGTGATAAACAGGCGGTGATCATTGTGATTATCTTCATGCAATTTTGAAACAGAAAGACAGTCAAGCATTGAGATGATCGAGATAAACAGTACTGCGTTACGGTTTTGAAGTGTGCTGGTGCAATTACAGGCACACGGGGCTTGTCAACTAATGTCTCAGGGTGACAGGTGCAGCGGCAGTGTTCCTCAGATCTTTGCAATTTAAAGTTCTGACTGGTACTGCAACTGCTAAGGACAGGCGTGTCACTTAACACGAAGCACATAACTTGTTGATGACGTCACTTGGTATTAGAAAAAAATGTGTATTAGTGGAAATATACTGGGAGTCTGTGGAAGATCTCGCCATCTTTGTTTTCCATTTTTTGATGTGTCGACGAGGCTTATGAATTTTTGTTACTTTGAAACTAGATAAGTATAAATAATATCCATATAAATTGATCTATGAGCGTTCAATAAGAAGTTCTTACCACAATCAGTAGGTGGGACACAGATATCATTTTCATTTCTGTAGTAACGTTCGGCGCATACACATTTTGGTTGGCAGTTTTTCAGAAGCTCGTTGCAGGCAGACTGCTGACTAATATCTGTGCAATACTCGGCGCGACAACCCGAAGGGCAGGAATTCCAGACTTCATTGGGTCTTGTGCAGTTTACCGGAGCTGAAAAATATTTAAATAACATCACGACCATCATCTTCATTGTCACACAAATGTGTGAGAATGGTAAGAATTTTGTAGACTTTGTCGTTTTATAGACACGTCTTCCTAGGTTTATGAACCTTCTTCGACGTGCAGGTTTCATCACGACGTTCTCCTTCACCGAAAGTCTCACGATAAATTTCAAATTAAATTTCGCAAATAAATTCCAAGAAACTCAGAGGCGCGAGCCCGAATTCGAACGGCCTCTGTTTGAGCGGCAATAGGTCAAATCATCAGGCTACCATGGCTTTAGTTAAAATTACTACGAATATTTCAATACTCTTTATAACAGAAACTTACGACATTCTTCGGCCAAAATGCAAGTGTCGTCATCTGCACTCCTCTTCTTGTACCCTTGTTGACAGATACATCCAGGAGGGCATGGATAAGGTTGAGAGCACTGTACAATAGCGCGACTGTCATCTACTGGACAGGTATCATACGGTCCACAACGCGCAGCACATTCTACATAGGTTTCATTGGTTCTACAAACATTTTTCGGCGTTGCTGCAATAAGAACCAACGGACGCAAAAGATTATTTACTATGTCCACGATTTGTTCGTAGTTTATCCGTATGATATTAGGAATTTTCGTTTTTTGTGAATTTAATATATATATGTATATTCTTTATTCCACCAAGTAAAATACATCAGAAATATTAAAATAACAGAAAGTGAGCAAAGGTGGACTTATCTCTAAAAGAGATCTCTTTTAGCCAACCCAGACAAGTGAGAGCTAAGGTTATAAGCGGGCAATAGCGTGCAAGAGAGAGTGCGGAAAAAATATAATAAATGTAAATAAAGTACGTAAATAAAAATAAATAAATAAAAGAAATACAGTTACTTGCATAAGCATTATAATGAATAATAATAAATAGCATCAATATGTAAATAGTGTAATATATACATATAGGTACATATATACATAAATAAATATATACAAAAAATACAATAAGATGAATACTAAGATAGTTCAGCAAGAAAGTGCGCTTTCAACCTTTTCTTGAAAGAAGCGATAGACGGGCTAGACTGGATATGGGAAGGAAGTCGGTTCCACAACTGCGTTGCACGAGATGAAAACGAAATTTAAATTTTAAAAAAGAAATTTATATTACAGTTAGGACGAACGAGCATCTTAGTTATGCACGGGCGCCTTGAACGGGTGGGAAGGGGCAGCAAATGGAACCGGGAACGAAGGTAGGAACGTCAGTTGGCGTCATGAAGTATATTAAAAAGGGCGGACAGGATATGCACATCACGACGAAGGCGAATTCGAAGCAATTTTAACCGAGCGCGAAATTCGGAAACTCGGGCAAACTTACGGAGACCGAAAATAAATCGGATAGCCAAGTTTTGTAGGTGCTCTAGTTTATTCATAAGCTCTTCGGTCACATCTAAAAAACAAATGTCGGCATAGTCGAGTAAGGGGAGCAGAAGAGTTTGCGCAAGCATAATTTTGGTATGAAAAGGGAGAAAGTATTGGAGTCGTTTGAGAGAGTGAAATGAGAAGTGCATTTGTCTGCTAACCTCATTGACATGAGAAGTCCAAGACAATGTGCAGTCCATTACTAGACCTAGATTTTTTGCTTTGTCAGTATATGCAATGGGAGTTCCGTCATAAACCAACGCAGGTACCGGTAACCAATCCAACTTGCATTAATCTGCTACTGCCTACAATCATGGCTTGAGACTTAGCGGGATTAACTAAAAGTCCAAATGATACAGCCCATAACTGTATGGCAGACAAATCAAAATTGATGGCCGCAATTGCTTCAGATACCTCGCCCACCTCAAAGTTACGATAGAGTTGGAGATCGTCAGCATATACATGGAATAGAGAAGAAATGACACTGGAAATGTTATTAATGAAAATGGAAAATAGTAAGGGAGAGAGTACGCCGCCTTGGGGCACACCAGCAGTTAAGCTAGACCACGATGACGAGCCATCATTGATTTTCACGCACTGCTGGCGACCAAAACGATAAGAAGAGAACCAACGTAAAACAGAAGAGGCCATATTAACCGCCTGAAGGGCACCAAGAAGAATGTCAAAGTCAACAGAGTTAAATGCGTTGCTGAAATCCACGAGGACAATGACAGTGAGCCTCGTATCATCCACGACGTATGTCTTCCGTAATGTTCAGTAATGCTCCAACAGTGCTATGAGATGGACGAAAGCCAGACGGAAACGGACATAAAAGGTTATGGGAGGAGGTAAGAAAAAAGTTGTTCATGGACGATGGATTCTAGGGCTTTGGAAAGAATAGGGAGAATGGAAATAGGACGGTATTATGTGAAAGAAGTAGAATTCGGAATTTTAGGGAGAGGTATGACTAAAGATTTTTTCCATTGTGTTGGAAAGACATTGCGCGAGAGAGAAAATTTATAATATGAGTGATAACTGGCGCAATGTCCTCCAGCACTGGAAGAATCATGTTGAGGCTTAATTTGTCACTGCCGATGGCCTTAGTGGAGATCGAGCGGACGCTCTTCTTTACAAGATCCTCTGTGACTGCACTAAAAGTGAAAGGGGGACAATCGGGTAAAGCAAGACAAAAAAGAGAGGTAAGAGCATTAGATTTCGTGATAAGGTTAAGAATGACGGGCGGACTAGAAACTTTTCTAGTTCTAGGGAATTCAGGGCATTGAGATCTATGTTGTTTTGGCAAACATTCAAGGAAGAATGAAACTATTTTTCCGGATTTAAATCGCGTATATTTGTTTTTTCAAACAAACCGACGTTTCGGGCCCTTTACAGGTCCCATGGTCACGGTTGATTCAAGGAAGATTTGCCCACACCTATGGAATGCAGAAATTTCGAGACCTGAGCTTGGGAAAGATTCTGAATGGTAGAGTGAAAGTAGCGACGTTTAGCATCCCTACACATTCTGTTGCTGAGATAGCGTAACTTCTTATAAGCATCAAGGTTTGCTGAACAAGGTTCGCGTTTTAGACGGCATTTGGCTTTGTCACGCTTTGCCATAACTCTTCTAATCTCAGGCGAAAGCCAAGGAGCCGGCGCGCGTTTGACACGCACCGGCCGTACCGGAGCATGAGAATCATAAATCTTCACCAACTGAGTATTATCCTATCGACCTTTTCGTCAATACTGTCAGACGCAAATAACACAGACCAGTCAATACAGCGTATATCTTCTCTCAAACGATGATCCATATGCTTAAAATTGCGCAAGAGAAGGACCTTTCCTTTAATTTTAGATGGACGCACTCTGTAAGAGACATAAATTAAGTCGTGATGTGAAAAGGGAGCAATCATCTGCCCATGCGAAATGGCCAGATCGGGGTGTGAAACAATAATTAAATCTATCAAGGAAGGTCTACTGTTAGGGAAGTAATGGATCGGTTTTTTTGTATTAAGCACGTGGAGATCAAGCGCAGACGTCAAAGCTGACAATCTAACGAATCGACTGTCATTTTTGAGGCGACACGTGTTTAAGTCGTCCATAAGAATGACATGATCAGAAAGGAGAACTAAGTTTTCAAGAGAGCTTTCCAAGATATTAAAGTAATCTATTTTGTCATTAGGGCTATAGAAAACACCAAGCAGGATTTTTTTGTGGTAAACTACAACTGAAAGAAATAAATGTTCCAAAAATCCAGTGTACTGTGACTGAGAGCAGCAAACAACGTCAGCTGTGATGTAGCTACGAAGGTAGATGACAACACGATCTCCCCCACAACCAATTCGGTCGTTACGAAAGAGTTATCCCGGAATGGAATAGCTAGTAGAAGGTACAGAAGGCTTCAGCCAGGTTTCCGACACGAGAATACAATCGATTATGCCAGCGCTAAAAACGTGAAAAAATCGTTGTAGTGAGCCGGGATGCTCTGCGCATTGATATGAACTAAGGAAAGAAATTTAGTGTAATTATCAAATACATTGTGAAGTTTATCTTCCAAAGGTTCAGAGTCTGATATGAAGTATTATGACTTTGGGCGCTATCGTAATCATCTGAAGAGCAAGAAAAGTAATCATCTTGTACAAACATGAAAAAATTAATATTTTCACAAACTTAAATAAATATGTAATATAACATATATATATATATATATACATATATGTATTGAATGGACTAAGTAAAGTAAAAATTTACTTTGCTATTTTCAAAATAACTCACTGCACAGGTTGACAAGATGAGTAACTCCAAACTTAAAGGTAATAAAAAAATAAAAACTGAAATTGGCTTTATAGAATGCAACGCAATCCCTAGCTGCTTAGCGTTAAAACAAATTTTATGTGAAATGATAATGATATGATAAAGGCTAATGGTACCGATTTCTGAAAATACAGGTATAATTACTGTACCGGAACTGTAGCAAGGTAAGAGGTATGTGTCCTTGAAAATGTAGAATATAATTTATGCAGTAGTATCTCAAGTACCAGTATTGTGTTTACAGTACACGTTCCTGATTATACCGATATTCCAAGCCCTGCTTAATATTCATAATCGGCCAATGATAACAAAAATTATTTTTAGAATGATGTATTTATATTCAGCTCTATCTTCGCAGTTTTCATGGCAGCAAAATGCATATTTTACAAAAAATATGTCTGGAGAATACTAACGAGGTGGACAGTCATCATTCTTCACACAAGTCCCATTCTTGAGCCTCAAATAATCCTTGATACAATCACATCCACCTATGCATTTTTGTTTGCTTGGACACTTGTAAGTAGTGTAAGATATATCACAGCTCTGTGGTGGACATATTCTTTTGCACTTGACCCATTTTTCATTAGGACCTTTACATTTTTTGGATGGGGTGGGAATTGGTTTTGGTGTAACTGAAATTAAAAGATTCTATAAAACTGACCACAGCGTGGTAGAATATTTTGTATTCGATTAAAATGATCACATAGACAAACGAAGAGAGGAATGTCGGCAATATACTGTAATCGAAGTTGTAGATGAAGAATAGGTTATATATTTAGATTATAGAAAAATACTTAACGCTTTACCTTCTGGATAAGGTGCAATAGTAGTTGGCTCATCGGGTTGTCCCTCTAAAACAAGTTATTATCAGTGTTAATACTCGATTCATAAAACGCAACTAATGACATTATCAACAGAGCAAACTGTACGTATAATGATTGGTTCAGAATCCAGAGAAAGTGTTGTCAGGAGAACTTTGCAAAATTGAAGAAGACATTCGATTATGTAAGCCATAGCATATACAAATTAGGGGTAAACGGGTGAAAGAGGCAACGCACAAGAACTAATAAAATTCTACTTTAAAAATACAGTGTACTCAACATACTAAAGTAAAGTGTGGACTGTAACTAACATTGAGAAACTGTGCGTCCCAAACTTTGCTCTTATGCCTACCATAATTAGCCACCTATTAATAATAAAAAATATTAAGTGTATATCTTGAAGTGCTTAAGACGATACAAGATTAAAACATCTCAAGACTAGAAAACTACCTTTCGTGACAGCATTTACGACATATTGTCGTTTTTATATGCGTAACAAAACGACGGAGTATATTCAAATATATATTTTTTTAGATATATAATTTTAGACACGAACATACAGATTGTTACTTAACATTCATCCTTACCTGGCTTAGGCTCGATTGCAGTTACAGAATCAAGAGCACGTCAAGTCTAACACTTAAGATTTAAGTCCAACTCTATGCCGCTTACGATAAGAACGGTCCAAAGTACAAAGTATCAAGCTTGACGTGCTTTTGACTGTTGCACTACACAAATTGACAAGCAAAATTAAAATATAACAGAGAAATCAAGGCAGTTAAATAGTGAGCGCCCATGAAAATCGTAATACCAGATCTTTATTCTCGTTTTTTCTTAATATTATTTCGAGCTTATTCTGATGTATTGTACGTCATGAAGGTACGCAATCAACACACTGATAATTAAACAGCCCGTTTATTCGTATAATAATAAGTTCAAAAAAACACTCACGACATTGCTGTGAAGTGACGCATTTGAAATTTTCATCTCTGTAAAATCCATCTTTGCATCGACATGCGGGTTTGCAGCAGTAACCATCGTCAGAAACACATGCAAACTTAGACCAAAGTAGAGAGCAATTCTGATGCGGAGGACACTGCGGGGGACAACTCTCCCAGTAGGCATTGGGCCCGCAATCAACAGCTTTATATGGCGCTGCGATCATAACAGAAAATATGTGTAATTATCTCAAAAACTTAAGAACTCGATATGACGGAAAATAGTTTTTAGTGTTTCTGATTCACTAATAAGTATTTAAAAATAGTATTATAAAAATAATCTTTTGTGTTAAGACTCAAGTATTGTTGTACCGGCTCTGCGTGGTAAGAACTAGCCCTTACCTAGTAGCAGTAGAGCTCCTTATGAAAGAGTTCGTTCAGGGTAATACTTCCATCTGCCTATACCTACCGACAAGCAGTAATATCTACATTACTGTGTTCTGGTTTTGAAGGGTATAAGGGTGTTGGTGAAAAACAAAAAAACAGGCACATGTGACTTTTCAACTTATATGTCTCAGGGTGACGGGCGCAGTGGCATTGCCCCTCAGATCTGATGAGATGCGATTTAAAGCTCTGAGTGGCACTGCAACTGTTATGGACAAGCGTGTAACTTATCATCATGCGCACGACTTGTTAGTCCCGTCGCTTGAAATTATAAAAAAAAACCTTGGTATAATAAGGTCAAATATGATCATATGTCAAAAAGCTTTTGTCACTTATTAGTCATGAAAATAACATGAACTACTTACATGCAACAAATTATGTATTATGTGAAATGAAAATTAATGATAAATGAATAATATAAATAATTAATGAAAACTATTTATAAGTGTAACTAATTTTGTTCTCGTTTTGCAGATGTATCCTGTATCCTTAGGAGGCGACTACTTCAGCTTGAATTCAAATTTTTCCCGTACTAATACTGTTCATTTTGCTTTGAAATGGAAAATGTATATCGTATAGGTATATACGTGTACTGTTTAGTTCAGTTGATATAAAAAAAAATAATGGTATATGTAAAGTGCTTATTGAATACAGCGGTTTTCTTGTAAAATTTCGAGGTAATTTTTTTTTATGGTAAAAATTTTTAGGAATCATGTTTTCACACCACACAGTAATCAGTGTATATATATCCTTAATTTTACTATAAATATTTTTTCCAAAATGATTGATTCAACAATTTCACTGTTTCGCGGAATCAATCAAAGCCATTCGAGGCTATATAGACTCTTAATAAATTGAGGCTACGCTATGTTACCTACATAGGTAAAGACTTTGTAAATGTTAACGTAAGTAATATAAGAAGTGAAACGACAATGACTCACGTGAATACACTGGACATTTTTTTTCCCTTATCGGACTGGTAGCTCCCGCCGCAGTTATTAAAGCCACTAACACCCACATCTTTTTGACTATACTAAACATATCGAACGTCACCATCTCTTTTATCGTAAGGCAAACTCAAACACAAGAAGAATAAAAACAAGTCTATCACGTCCACAAGCCTTTCGGAAAAACAAAAACTCTATAGACATACTATAACGTCAATACATTTGCAACTGTACAAACTTTTTTTTAACTACTAAAATACAATAAAGTGATGAGTAACGTAACTAATCATTAGTTTATTCAGTTTTATTTATTGAATGACTGCTTATACTACGACTCATTAGACGCTTTACCTCAGAGAGTACAACACAGCAAATTAGGTTTTCAATTATAAACAACTCAATAGTTCGTGGAATGACATCTATTTGCCAGTTTTATTGAAATCGGTTACCGGTAAGTGCGTGGAATCCCTTTCGATTCCCCCTGCGATTCATTCTCTAGGTCGCCACCCTTACAGGTGGAATATTTCCTTCAAATTTAAATACCTCTTTCCAACAAAAAAACAATTATCAAAATTTTAATGATTTTGATGACTCCGATATTTGCCGGGGTAACCAATTTATCGCGTAACGTGCAAGGAAAAAAATACAATCGAATTGAGAACCTCCTCTATTTTTTGAAGGCGGCTAATAAGGAAAATAATTCACTGTTTCCAGAAGAACGGACTTTTTGTGATATCATGTGACGTAACAAACAAGTCGTGCACCTGGTGGTAATTAAGCACGTACTTACGCACTTTAATGCCCTCATTATAATATATCTCCACACTTATTTTCAGTCTCTATTGACCTATTATAAAATATTTGTTGTTTTGTCGTGTTTTAAAAAATATAATTTGTAAGGCGCCGCTGCAAGTTTACGTCGTCCTAATTTTGTTCAAACTAAATTTTACGGAGTAAAGTACAAGTATGCCTGCTTTAAAAGAGTGCCTCATGTTATTTATTTTTAACCGACTTTAATATTTAGAAAATCGACAAAGTGAACAGTTTCTGTAGTAAAAATTCTAACTTACTGACTTCTACTAAATGGGACGATTTCTAACATTTACGACAATCTTTAACTGCCTCCGTGGCCGAACGGTTACCATGCCGGACTGCCACGCAGAGGTCCCAGGTTCTGGTTCAGGTTCATATTCGTACGGCCTACATTTATTTCTCTCGTGAGTTTGGGTGTAAATTGTGGTTGTCTAAGTGTGTGTGTCTAAATGTGTGCCATGGGGCACCCGCGACACAGGGCTTCCCTAGTGCGGGGCTATGTTGAGTGTGTGCGTTATTATTATCATTATAATCCAAGCCAAGACGCAAGTATCATCTTTAGACCACTTATTATGATAGCCATTTTTGCATCCACACCCTGGAGGACAGTCTCGAGGAGGTTTCCAGGCATATTTATCGAGGCTATGATTTTCTGGGCAGAAGTTATTGGGACTCTTGAATGTACAGAAGACTATAGATCTTGTTTACACCACAGTTTGCCTGGCCTGGAAGCAATTGTTATAGAACTGTTTAAATTCTTTGCTATGTATATATAGGAAATGCTTTAGTAGATGCATCAAATGACATTGTTTTAAAACAAATAAACGCGTTTCATAGATGTCTGTATCACGCTTTTTTTTAATACAAGAATATTCATACAAAAGTGGTTATGATAAATGATATTAATGTTAGTGTCACACAACATGTAATAAAAATTTATGTCATCAGAGTAGACTTAGAAATAAAGATAGTACGATTAATAGAAAGGTGATGAATAGCCGTCATGCAATTTTGAACCAGACGGAAAGACTGTCAAATATTGAAATGTTTGAGATACAATGTGTATAATAGAAAATATACCGGAAGTTTGTGAACGATTTGGCCGTCTTTGTTTTCCATTTTT